GTATAGGAAAAGTGCTAAAACGTATTTTATTTCATATTCGATAATTGGGGCATTTGAAGCTTTTTTAATGTTCCACCCATTTCACCCGTCAAGAAGACCCCTTTTGGGTTAGGTTCCAGGCTATTGTCATAAAGTGAATTGCCTTTTTTTCTGTTTTAGATTAATGTAAATGCCTGTTAACATGTTTACACTATAAGTGTTGGTGCCATTGTATCATGGCTTTGAAGCCAGTGTTGGTCCCATAGTATGATACCATGAACTTAGCTCACACAGATAAGCTGTGGGTGGTACATTTGGGCCTAGATGTAAAAAAATGAGTCTGTGGTAAGTGTGCACCATATAAAAAATTCTGCGGCATGCAGTGCATAATGAGGAAAAACAATGACTTTGCGGTGTATTTTCATGTTATTTTTATGATTGTATTCTCAGTTTCTTGATCTTGTTTGATAGAATGGAAGATAAGTTGCAGAAATGGAGATGATTCTGATTAGTTTCAGGACTGAAAGTAGCTTGAAATTGAGCTCAAAGTAGCGGAAATGTTTGATTTTTGCCAATATTCCAGTATACGCAAATGATGTCGCTTGTCCAATGTGCGTCCAGCTGGCCAGTCTAATACACATTTAGGAATGCACGGACATTATTTATACAGTCATTACAATAATGTAGTCTAAATAAAAGTAACATTTTTGTGTGTGTTTGTGCGTGTGCATGTGTGTGCGTGTACATGTGTGTGCGTGTGCATATGTGTGCGTGTGCATGTATGTGCATGTGTGTGCGTGTGCATGTGTGTGCATGTGTGCGTGTGTGTGTGCGCGTGTGCACGTGTATGCACATGTGTGCGCACGTGTGTGTGCGTGCGTGTGCACGTGTGCGCGTGTGTGTGTGAGAGAGAGAGAGAGAATAAAAATTCAAAATAAAAGCAAGTGTAATATAGGAGGGGCCTGGAGACATGAATAAGGAACAGAGGAAATGTTTTTTAGTGCCAGGAATGTCTACATTGTTTATTCTGGACCCTATTTTCAAATTGGCAATTGTTGAATTTTGTGTGAAACTGGCCAATTATCAATTTCTGATCACTTTATTGGGTAGTTGAAATAGGTAAATGGGCAGTTTCTTGTACTCATTTGTCAGAATAGAAGGAATACTAGTGAAACAGCTGAGTGTCTGGTCAACTGGAACAATGGAATTGGCTAAAAATAGAGCATAAATTGTGTGAAATCGCAGATGTATAAGTGTCGCTGAGACCGCTAGCTTTATAAGAGTATGAATTCGAGAGTTTTCCATCAAATTTTGTACTTTTGGTTTCATTACCTTCGGAAAAAGATTCTCTGTCATTTCATTAGATAATTTTTTTTTTAATCAACCCAGGGAGGAAGTTTGTGAGCATCGGTCATAACACTGAATGGGTTAAGTTAGCAGTAGAACTCGGACTAAAAAAAATAAAGTAATGTACATATACGGTACATTCATTACTTAGTATTTTTAGCCTTAACATAGGGTGAGACATGAGTAGTACGTATTGTAAGGTAGTCAGGAGGGGATAAAACCAGCCTCTGCTAGCTTCAAATTTATCTTCAGCAGCTTCCTTACCTTTCTCAGCCTTCATGGAATTGAAGAGACCTAGGACCTTGGCTTTGATAATGGCTCTGCTTAAAGGCACGTTGTGACTAATATGATCTGTAAACACCAGTAAAAGTTTTTTCACGCCAGCAATAAAGTTATCACGTTTTCTTACAACTTTAGTGTTAAGTGGTGTAGCACTTTTAATTTCCTACAACATTTTACCCTTCGTAACCCGTGCGTGTTGTAAGAGGCGACTAAAATGCCAGGAGCAAGGGGCTAGTAACCCTTTCTCCTGTATATATTACTAAATGTAAAAGGAGAAACTTTCGTTTTTCCTTTTGGGCCACCCCGCCTCAGTGGGATACAACCGATGTGTTGAAAGAAGAAAGAAAGATTTTATCCTTCGAGTTCATTTAAAGTAAAAGCCTTATGACATAACTTTAAAACAAATGAAACTTTATTATTATTATTATTTCTTCTTTCAACATACCAGCCGTATCCCACCGAGGTGGGGTGGCCCAAAAGGAAAAACGAAAGTTTCTCCTTTCAAATTTAGTAATATATACAGGAGAAGGGGTTACTAGCCCTTAGCTCCTGGCATTTTAGTCGCCTCTTACGACACGCATGGCTTACAGAGGAAGAATTCTGGTCCACTTCCCCATGGAGATAACAGGAAATAAACAAGAACAAGAACTAGAAAGAAAATAGAAGAAAACCCAGAGGGGTATGTACATGTATGTGTAGTGTGACCTAAGTATAAGTAGAAGTAGCAAGATGTACCTGAAATCTTGCATATTTATGAAACAGACAAAAGACACCAGCAATCATACCATCATGTAAAACAATTACAGGCTTTCGTTTCACACTCACTTGGTAGGACGGTAATACTTCCCTGGGTGGTTGCTGTCTACCAGCCTACTACCTGTAATTATTATTATTGTATTATTGTTATTATAAAACACCATTGGGAGGATGCTCCATATATATGTACACGTATATGGTGTCAGTGTTTTGGGTGAGTGGTCGGATTAATGTGTATTTGATACATGTGCACTGGCTGCTGGGCACATTGATACATGTGCATCTCGCATTATTCATATGGTTGTGAAGCGTTTTCTCCACAATACAAACACCTTTCATTGTGTGCAAGTTGTCTTCCCATTGATGCAGTAAAATACATAACAGCAACACTCCCATTCTCAGTCAACACACAATTTTGAGAGTGAGTAATGTTATTTATGAGTGAAGGCATACGAAAGGAATGCTATTCTTCTGTTACCCACCACTTTCTCTAGTGGTATAATAGAGAAAACATGTTATAGTAATTATTGTTGTACACTTCTTTATGCCCACCCAGCTACACAATTGTCAATTTCTTTTACTATGAATGTATGTACAGGCACTCCTCACTTAATGACTTCGTTCTGTTCCTGTGACTAGGTCGTTAAGCGAATTGGTCAATAAGCAAGGAGCATCATCATTGGAGTTATCAGCAGGGTTATCAGGAACTGTAGAAGGCCTGGGTAAGGGAGATGATGGCAAGGAAATGGAAGGACTTGTAGGGGTCCGGGATGTAGCTTTCGAGAAGAATCCCATTAGTGTGGTCTGCTTTGTAATTTTCTTTTTTTCTTCATAAATTTCACAATAGCATTGTAAAAGTTCATCCATTTGCCGTTCCACTTTCGTGAACCATTCAACATTCGGGTCCATACCCTCTAGTTCTAATATAACCCAATTCAGTTTTGAGAACACACCAGCTAACCCCTTTACAATGAACATTTTTTGTACTACTTTCATTCTTTCCTCTTCTTCCTTTTCCAAGTGCTGCTGCTCTTCCAACTCTCTTAGATCTTTGTTAGTTAGCACAATAAAGTACAAATTTATAGATGAAATATGTAGTCTTGGAGATTGCGAATGCTAGTGTAGTGAATACCAACTGACTGTGGAAACGGGACTGAGATTGAGAAAGGGTGATGCAAGATGAGATGCTTGACACTGAGATGCCGCGCTGCTGTTTCTATGACCAGAGTTCTTGTACAGTGTACAGTACTGGCTGGTTGGAGAGCTGGTCTTAAGTCCATGCGGTTGTTAAACAGGTGGGTTAAGTGAGGAGTGCCTGTATTTTGTTGATATGATACGTAGTGCATTTCTTATATAATTTGTGAAAATGTCTATAATTATTACTATTTTTCCATCTTCAGCAATAGAGAGAGATTCTTAGCTACTACCTCGTCTGGCATAGTTACTCCTACTTTGTAACACTGCCAAATAGTTATGTTACTGTACCTGCACACCAGCACAGTAAGTTTATTTAGGTACAGGTGCACATAAGTACAATTATCAGTAGTATCTCGGTACAGTCTCAGCTATCAACACATCTTGCTCACTGAATTTAATCATTTCTAACTATGCACTTAAAGTAAGAGCCTTACAGCTTCTCTTTTTATCACAACTATCTTTAGATGTTATTGTAATACAAAAAGAGTACGTATGTACAGCCTCTCCTCGCTTAGTGATGTACTCGTTTACCGATGACTCGGACTTATGACGGGCTCTCTGACCAGTATGCATACCTAAATAATGTATATTAGAGCTGATTTTCTCTGTTCTATTTATTACAATATAGAGTACACTGCTGTATAGACATTTAAAAATATACCAGAAATGTTATAAATGGTGAAAAGGTGACATTATAACATTACCAAAGGTGGTTGACACAAACCCATTACCATTATATTATGTTCCTCACTTAGTGACGAATTCGTTTACCGACGAGGTCTCAGGAAGGGAACTCCGTCATTAAGTGAGAAGAGGCTGTATATAAAATACCCAGTAACTTTAAAACACTTGAAACTTTGGAAAGTTTCCGGACAACTGGGAGAGACCTGGTGCTCACAGAGGATGTAAACAACCTGAAAGTGGACAGGTGGTGTGTGGACACCATAATAGCAAATCAGGGAGCCATATAAACAATATTTTGGGTATAATTTGAAATGTCTGTATTAGCGAATCACCGTAAAGCGGGGCCCTCCTGTAGTTGTATGTCACGACCACTGAAAGGGTTACAGAATTGAGTCACTTGGCTGAAGTGGCGTTTACTCATTTTTTTATCTGCTCAACACCTTGTATTATAGAAAGAATTGTTTCAATATTATAATAGATTTTTTTGGTTTAATATATACATAGCTACAAAACAGGTGGACATACAGTTTAACCTAAGTGTGTGCTTCAGAATGTATTATTTTATCACGGTCTATCTGTGGGAAGTGTATGTTAGGTACTACATGTACTTTTGATTGATATTTCAAATTGTTTAATTGTACAGTATATTACATTAATTTTGTTATGCAGTGCATTTAACTAAGAATTCAACTACAGTGTATTGGCAGGAAGGAAAATAGCTTGCAAGTAGAGAAAGTTACTTTTATTCTTAACAGGTACTCTCATGTGTACATTCCAATTCTTCCCGCAACACTAGTAGAAGTTCTCTCCACTCCTACCCCCTTCATTATGGGGGTACACTCTTCTCTCCAACATGATATTGCTGAACTGGTTAGTATTTTTCTTTGTTACACAGATGTTATCCATACTGATGATTCTGTTAACCGGTTGGAAGATTGTATATCTTTTCTATTTTCTTACAATTTCTTACATTGTTCCCATCAAGATCTTTTCTTTTCCTCTCCTCTCCATCTTTCGCCCCCTTTTTGTTTCCTTTAACACACACTGAATAAAATTAGGAAAAAGTGACCATGAAAAGGCAAAATCATTGTAATTAGATATTTAAGTATAAAGAAAGACTGGATTCCTTTAAATCTGGAATGGTAAACAAATGGACAAGCAGAGTGTTTACTTTTTTCACATTAATCAAAGCCAGAAAATGCAAGACTCATCAATACTAAGCCTAGTATTTGCTAGAAATGAAGTTCTTAGCATAAACTATGTAAATCCACTTGGGAAAAAACATATTCTATTCAAATTAACATTCTGCTGAATATGACTTTGGGAAGGAAAAGTAAAATATAAATGAGAACTACTAACTTAAAGGAAAGGAAAATATGACCTAAGGCAGTGTATTTTAGAGAAAATGGAATAAAATATGATGGGATAGATGTTTATCAATTATTTAGAGTTCTTCAGTGTATGTGAAAGTGGAGTTGGTTTATTTTTGAATTAGAAAAAACATGAAATAATAAGGAATGGTTTAAACGAAGATGCTGGAGAGCCATAAAAAAGAACATACGTAGAACTTGTTTGAATCACTAAATGTCTGGGAGTTAGTTGCATGTTAATGTCAGAAAGTCATACAGTGTTCCCCAATTCCAGAAATAAGATATTCCAGTAAGATATAACATATTCATTGCTTAATGTTAGTGTGCCATGCTCCAGTGTTCATAAAGCAAGTAATTTCAAGAGATAATACTAATAGCCTAAGATTGGTATGTTAGAGGAAGGAACAGTGGCAGCTTGTGTATAGGCACTGCAGAACTGCACCACCCACTGTTTTCACTCGATATTATCGATAACATTCAATATAATGAGTCTTTCTTTTCTTTAATCCTTTCTTTATACTTGTATTGCAAGTATAAAAAAAAAGAATTAAAAGAAAAAAGACTCATTATATTGAATGTTATCGATAATATCGAGTGAAAATAGAGGGTGCTGCAGTTCTGCAGTGCCTATACACGAACTGCCACTGAAAAGGAACTAGACAATATAATAAAAGCAGATTTCTTGCAGGGGTTCAAAAGTAGATAATGTTTGATAACATTATTTCACGGTATTCAGTGCAGGATAGATGGGACCAAGAGCTAATTCAAATAATTAAAAATAGGCAATTAAATTGTTTTATACTACTTGCAGATGGATGTCATTGTAGCAGACTTGGATGGAGGGGCAATTCGTGTTCCAGAAAGCTTGACCCTCTCTCTCCTTCCAGAGCCTTTTTGGTCCCAAACTCATGCTGCTCTCTCAAGGGTTAGTAAATTATATTGACAATTTTTTTTTTTTTTACATTGGTGAGTACAGTTTTTAACTTTCAGAATACCAAGTACTGTACTGTACTGTACTTTGAATAAAAAAAGTATTTGGTTCAATATATGTAGATTTTTTTTTTTTTTTACCCACCGGTTGTATCCTACTGAGGCAGGGTGACCTAAAAGAAAAACAAAAGTATTTGATAGTAGTTAATGGAGACAAATGGCTTTTAATACTTGACATACTGTTGGAGTGTGAGCAAAGTAACATTTATGAAGGGATTCAGGGGAACCGGCAGGCTGGACTTCAGTTCTGGAGATGGGAACTACAGTGTCTGCACTGAAGGAGGGGTGTTAATGTTGCAGTTTTATAAACTATAGTGTAAAGCACCTCTCTGGCAAGACAGTGATGGAGTGAATGATGATGAAAGCTTTTCTTTTTGGGGCCACCCTGCCTTGGTGGGAATTGGCTGATGTGTTAATAAAATTAAAAAAATAAAAAATAACAAAAAAAAAAGTTTTTTCATTTTTAAGCTTGGATTAATAGTGTTTATTCTTTGTACAAACAGTACAGTAGAAATCTTCAGGAAATGTTTTATGACTGAAACCAGGGAGCACTGCAGGAAAGCCAATCTAACTAAACATCTAGATTTTGCTACTAATTAACTCTTAAACTGTCCAAACGTAGATCTGTGTTCACTCGCGTAGTGCTCCGAATGTAGATCTACGTTTTTTTTACATGCTTTCTTATGGAGAAAATCAAGATTGGAGCGCTACGCTCGAAAACATAGATCTATGTTTGGACAGTTGAAGGGTTAATGAGTATTCTTCTCTGGTGCAGAATTAGTATGATATAATGGACTAGTAATGGGCGTCTGTTATTTTGGAAATAAGATTACAGTGGTAAAAACGCTAACGTCCTATACTGTATACCTAATATAGTACTGTGTATTTTTTTTTTCCGACAATTTTTTTCAACAATTTAACCAGTGGATTTTGCCTGTAATTTTAAAAGCCTGTGGTTCAGGTATGTCTCCTTCCCTACCCACTCACCTTACCTTTGATATTCCTTTAAAGAGCTTTGAGAATTTCACTACTCTCGGAGCCTGGGCATGGGCCAGGCTCGTCTGGTGCTTGCCTGGTCAACCAGGCTGTTACCGCTGGAGGCCCGCTGCTCCACATATCCATCACAGCCTGTTTGATCTAGCACCTGGTGAAGATACTTGTCCAGTTTCCTCTGCTGATCACTTTTTCATAAAATAATTTATAAGCTATGTGCCCCATCCCCCTCACATTGGCAGTGAACCACGACAATGTCATTTTGCTTCTTTTTCAACAGGTATTACACCCTGATCTCAGTTCTGCAGACAATGCCTTTCCCTCTAGTAGTGGCATAAGAGCTTCACCACATGTCATGATAGACAAGGAAATTAGAGCAGTTTTTATGCGTATGTTTGCAGAGTTGTTACAAGGCTATCGTTCCTGTCTTACTATCATCAGGATACATTCAAAACCAGTTATAACGTTCCATAAGGTAGGACCATTATGCATTTGGTGTTGTTTTACGAGTGCATTTCATGTTGTAGGCATGGTAAATATCTTTAAAAAATTGCAGATGGAATAGATCTTTAATAATAAAATGTTCAATTATTTATTGTACAGAATAACTTTTAACAGATTTGCATAAAAATTGATAGCAAAACTAAAATAGGTCTTGTTATTAAATATTAGGTATGGTCAAGATGAAATTTTAAGCACATTCTTCTATGAATAATTTTATTGTAAATTATCTTTTCTTGTAACATCTGTGTTGCTAATAGTGATTTTGCACTGAATCTGAGAAAGTACATATTATATACAGTGGTACAGTACATGCAGAAGGGATGGATGTATATCGTAAAATTTAATTACTCGTCACAAATTACACATGTAAAATATTTCAGGCATCTTTCCTGGGCAACAGAGGGATGGCAGACCACGAGTTTGTAGGGAAAGTGTTGGACTGCATGTTCTTCACTACTTTTGTGACAGAGAGAGGACCACCGTGGCGTGTGTGTGATCTGTGGGATGATCTCTACTCGGGTATTGGGGACCAATTGCGCCTAGAACAACATGATAGTCGAATGCTTCTAGTCCATATTCAGGTAAGAAGTTATTACTTGTAGGTGAATCCATAATGCTTGTGCAACTTTAAGTTTCATATAGACCGCAACCACCCAGGGAGGTAGTACTGTCCTGCCAAGTGATTGTAAAACGAAAGCCTGTAGTTGTTTTACATGATGGTAGGATTCCTGGTGTCTTTTGTCTGTCTCATAAATATGCAAGATTACAGGTATGTCTTGCTACTTCTGCTTACACTTAGGTCACACTGCACATACATGTACTTGGTTATCTATACATACTCATCTGAGTTTTCTTTGATTTTATCTTAATAGTTCGTGGTCTTATTACTTTTCCTTTTACATTCATGGAGAAGTGGAATAAGAATCTTTCCTCCGTAAGCCATGCATGTTGTAAAAGTCAACTAAAGTGCCAGGAACAATGGGCTAGTAACCCCTTTTCCTTTAATAATTACTAAAAGGAATAAGAAGAAGAAGAAAATTGTCAAAGTGGGAAGTCAGAATGTGCGTGGATGTTGTGCAAATGATAAGAAAGAGACGATTGTGGATGTTATGAATGAGAAGAAGCTGGATGTCCTGGCTTTAAGTGAAACAAAGCTGAAGGGGATGGGAGAGTTTCAATGGAGAGGAATAAATGGGATTAGGTCAGGGGTTTCAGATAGAGTTAGAGCTAAAGAAGGAGTAGCAATAATGTTGAAGGATAAGCTATGGCAGGAAAAGAGGGACTATAAATGTATTAATTCAAGGATTATGTGGAGTAAAATAAAGGTTGGATGTGAAAAGTGGGTTATAGTAAGTGTTTATGCACCTGGAGAAGAGAGAAGTGTAGAGGAGAGAGGTTTTGGGAAATGTTGAGTGAATGCATGGGGAGTTTTGAACCAAGTCTGAGAGTAATGGTGGTTGGGGATTTCAATGCTAAAGTGGGCAGAAATGTTGTGGAGGGAGTAGTAGGTAAATTTGGAGTGCCAGGGGTAAATGAAAATGGGGAGCCTTTAATTGAGCTATGTGTAGAAAGAGGTTTGGTAATATTATTATTTTTATTATTATTGTCACACTGGCTGATTCCCAGCAAGGCAGGGTGGCCCAAAAAAGAAAAACTTTCACCATCATTCACTCCATCACTGTCTTGTCAGAAGGTTGCTTTACATTACAGTTTTTAAACTGCGACATTAACACCCCTCCTTCAGAGTGCAGGCACTGTACTTCCCATCTCCAGGACTCAAGTCCGGCCTGCCGGTTTCCCTGAACCCCTTCATAAATGTTACTTTGCTCACACTCCAACAGCACGTCAAGTATTAAAAACCATTTGTCTCCATTCACTCCTATCAAACACGCTCACACATGCCTGCTGGAAGTCCAAGCCCCTCGCACACAAAACCTCCTTTACCCCTCCCTCCAACCTTTCCTAGGCCGACCCCTACCCCGCCTTCCTTCCACTACAGACTGATACACTCTTGAAGTCATTCTGTTTCGCTCCATTCTCTCTACATGTCCGAACCACCTCAACAACCCTTCCTCAGCCCTCTGGACAACAGTTTTGGTAATCCTGCACCTCCTCCTAACTTTCAAACTACGAATTCTCTGCATTATATTCACACCACACATTGCCCTCAGACATGACATCTCCACTGCCTCCAGCCTTCTCCTCGCTGCAACATTCATCACCCATGCTTCACACCCATATAAGAGTGTTGGTAAAACATATTTTATGAAGAGGATAAATAAATATACAAGGTATAATATAGCATGAAATGAAAGTAGTTTGTTAGATTATGTATTGGTGGATAAAAAGTTGATGGGTAGGCTCCAGGATGTACACGTTTATAGCTACAGTTAGAGTAAGAGGTAGATGGGAAAAGAGGAAAATGGCAACAACAAATAAGAGGGAGGTGAAAGTGTATAAACTAAGGGAGGAGGAAGTTCGGGTGAGATATAAACAACTATTGGCAGAAAGGTGGACTGGTGCAAGTGTGAGTAGTGGGAGGGTTGAAGAGGGTTGGAATAGTTTTAAAAATGCAGTATTAGAATGTGGGGCAGAAGTTTGTGGTTATAGGAGGGTGGGTGTAGGAGGAAAGAAGAGTGATTGGTGGAATGATGAAGTACAGGGTGTGATTAAAGAGAAAAAGGTAGCTTATGAGAGGTTTTTACAAAGCAGAAGTGTTATAAGAAGAGTAGAGTATATGGAGAGTAAAAGAAAGGTGAAGAGAGTGGTGAGAGAGTGCAAAAGGAGAGCAGATGATAGTGGGAGAGGCACTGTCAAGAAATTTTAATGAAAATAAGAAAAAAATTTGGAGTGAGTTGAACAAGTTAAGAAAGCCTAGGGAACGAATGGATTTGTCAGTTAAAAACAGATTAGGGGAGTTTGTAGATGGGGAGATGGAGATATTGGGTAGATGGCGAGAATATTTTGAGGAACTTATAAATGTCGACAAAGAAAGGGAGGCGGTAATTTCATACACTGGCCAAGGAGGTATACCATCTTTTAGGAGTGAAGAAGAACAGGATGTGAGTATGGGGGAGGTGCACGAGGCATTACGTTGAATGAAAGGGGGTAAAGCAGCTGGAACTGACGGGATCATGACAGAAATGTTAAAAGCAGGGGGGGATATAGTGTTGGAGTGGTTAGTATTTTTGTTTAGTAAATGTTCGAAAGGGGAAGGTACCTAGGGATTGGCAGAGAGCATGTATAGTCCCTTTATATAAAGGGAAGGGGGTCAAAAGAGATTGTAAAAATTATAGAGGAATAAATTTACCGAGTATACCAGGAAAAGTGTACAGTAAGGTTATAATTGAAAGAATTAGAGGTAAGACAGAATGTAGGATTGCGGATGAGCAAGGAGGTTTTAGAGTGGGTAGGTGATGTGTAGATAAAGTATTTACATTGAAGCATGTATTATTTTTTTTATTAACACACCGGCCGATTCCCACCAAGGCAGGGTGGCTCGAAAAAGAAAAACTTTCACCATCATTCAGTCCATCACTGTCTTGCCAGAAGAGTGCTTTATACTACAGTTTTTAAACTGCAACATTAACACCCCTCCTTCAGAGTGCAGGCACTGTACTTCCCATCTCCAGGACTCGAGTCCAGCCTGCTGGTTTCCCTGAATCAATTCATAAATGTTACTTTGCTCACACTCCAACAACACGTCAAGTATTAAAAACCATTTGTCTCCATTCACTCCTATCAAACATGCTCGCGCATGCCCGCTGGAAGTCGAAGCCCCTCGCACACAAAACCTCTTTTACCCCCTCCCTCCAACCTTTCCTAGGCCGACCCCTACCCTGCCTTCCTTCCACTACAGACTGATACACTCTTAAAGTCATTCTGTTTCGCTCCATTCTCTCTGCATGTCTGAACCACCTAAACAACCCTTCCTCAGCCCTCTGGACAACATTTTTGGCAATCCCGCACCGCCTCCTAACTTCCAAACTACGAATTCTCTGTATTATATTCACACCACACATTGCCCTCAGATATGACATCTCCACTGCCTCCAGCCTTCTCCTCGCTGCAACATTCATCACCCATGCTTCACACCCATACAGGAGTGTTGGTAAAGCTATACATGTACTCTCATACATTCTCCTCTTTGCTTCCAAGGACAAAGTTTTTTGTCTCCACAGACTCCTAAGTGCACTGCTCACCCTTTTCCCCTCATCAATTCTAAGATTCACCTCATCTTTCATAGACCCATCCTCTGAGACGTCCACTCCCAAATATCTGAATACATTCACCTCCTCCATACTCTCTCCCTCCAATCTGATATCCAATCTTTCATCATGTAATCTTTTTGTTATCCTCATAACCTTACTCTTTCCTGTATTCACTTTCAATTTTCTTCTTTTACATTCCCTACCAAATTCATTCACCAACCTCTGCAACTTCTCTTCAGAATCACCCAAGAGCACAGTGTCATCAGCAAAGAGCAACTGTGACAACTCCCACTTTATGTGTGATTCTTTATCTTTTAACTCCACGCCTCTTGCCAAGACCCTCGCATTTACTTCTCTTACAACCCCATCTATAAATACATATATTAAACAACCACGGTGACATCACACATCCCTGTCTAAAGCCTACTTTTACTGGGAAATAATGTCCCTCTTTCCTACATACTCTCACTTGAGCCTCACTATCCTCGTAAAAACTCTTCACTGCTTTCAGTAACCTACCTTCTATACCATATATCTGCAACGTCTGCCACATTGCCCCCCTATTCACCCTGTCATACGCCTTTTCCAAATCCATAAATGCCACAAAAATCTCTTTAGCCTTATCTAAATAGTTCACTTATATGTTTCACTGTAAACACCTGGTCCACACACCCCCTACGTTGCCTAAAGCCTCCTTGTTCATCTGCTATCCTATTCTCCGTCTTACACTTTATTCTTTCAATAATAACTCTACCATACACTTTACCAGGTATACTCAACAGACTTCTTCTTCTTTCTTTCAACACACCGGCCGTATCCCACCGAGGCGGGGTGGCCCAAAAGGAAAAACGAAAGTTTCTCCTTTTACATTTAGTAATATATACAGGAGAAGAGGTTACTAGCTCCTTGCTCCCGGCATTTTAGTCGCCTCTTACAACACGCATGGCTTACGGAGGAAGAATTCTGTTCCACTTCCCCATGGAGGTAAGAGGAAATAAACAAGAACAAGAACTAGAAAGAAAATAGAAGAAAACCCAAAGGGGTGTGTATATATATGCTTGTACATGTATGTGTAGTGTGACCTAAGTGTAAGTAGAAGTAGCAAGACATACCTGAAATCTTGCATGTGTATGAGACAGATAAAAAAAGACACCAGCAATCTTACCATCGTGTAAAACAATTACAGGCTTCAGTTTTACACTCACTTGGCAGGACGGTAGTACCTCCCTGGGCGGTTGCTGTCTACCAACCTACTACCTAGAACTCAACAGACTTATCCCCCTATAATTTTTGCACTCTCTTTTGTCCCCTTTGCCTTTATGCGAAGGAACTATGCATGCTCTTTGCCAATCCCTAGGTACCTTACCCTC